TCAAAGTGGTCAAGATCAAGCAGTGAAGATGCGAGGTCTTGAGCCTCGACACCAGGAAAGGCACCACAGCCAGCTGCTCAGAAAGAGGAATGAGGAATGGAGTCGGAGGAATGGAGTCGGAATGGATCAGATGCCTCAGGTCTTCCGCTTTCCGGCCTTGGGAGTGCAAATCGCTGCATGTTTGATTGGCCCCAGTGGGTCGGCGCTGCGCCCGCTGGTCTGAGACGGGGTTCGAATAAGCTCCCTTTTCGGAGCAACATGGTTTTTTCGTAAAACATATCCAACCTAGAAGCGATGGCCACCAACCCAGAAGCAAATAGACTCTGAAGACTACCCTGTAGACCTTCTGTGGTCTTCATTCCTTTCACATTTCTTCGTGGTGTTTACACTTGTCTCAGCATCATCGGACTTTGGAGCTGCAATGCGGCATATATAAAGACCATTGCAGCCCAGAAAAGCAGATTAATCAGTGAACGCAAACTTGCAAGCCACTGCCCAGAGCATATGAAAGCATGACAATAGCAATGAAGGTGTCAGCCGTGGGCGCCATCCTTTACAGCTGCGCAAAGTATCGTCAGATCCTTGGTTTTGCACTGCAGAAAACCTTTTCCTTGGATCTCAAGTCTTGTGAACTTGCTTCCATGCTTTGACTAAGGCTATTCTGATTTGGCTGCTCAGGCACGGGGGTGAAGCAAGCATTTTTCGACAGCCTAGGAGCAAGAAGCTACTAGGTGGAGACCGCTATTAGGTTGGAGGCCATTGCTAGTAGCAAGGACGCTACCAGTGTGCTCCTTTTGGGTCACTTCTACTAGATTCGGATCTTGATCTAAACCATTCAGATCAGATTCCAGCGTAGATGCTAGTAGAAACAAGAATCAACAAGAACGATTATTTCTTCTGGGTGGCGTAGGTCCTTAGGTCCTTAGGTTTAGTCGGCCTTGTCGGGCAAAGAAAGGGAGATAATATGGCTGCTCTTAAGCAGCTGCTTGAAGCCAAGGACCTTTCTGATTGCAGCTCTTCGATTGAAAATGACCGGAGTTTCTCAATAACCCCGCAGACGATGAGGCTGCACTTCTCATTTTCAACTCAATCCAGTTTTTGAATCACACCGTGTGCGGTTTTGGACTGAACTACCCGGGCTTCAAAAAGTGGTCATCATCCCCTGGTTTTTAGAAGCCCTTTCTGAGCTTGCTTTTCGACAAAAGATCTCTTTCAACTTAATTCTTGTGACATGCGATAGGTTCAAGTGTTTTCAGCCTCGCGTAGATCCTTCCACTGGCCCAAAGGCTTGGCTTGTGGTACCCTGGCAGTGCCAAAAGGAGTCTTTAAACACTTGCTTGCTGCGCCGGCTGGTCAAGACAAAAGCACTTCTTTGATCTTCTTTGTGGGAATCCCGATCTGAACTCTTTTTTCGGAGCGCTTTCAACGCCCTTAAGTAGCAGTATGAGATAAAGCATTCCAGGGGTCACTGTCAAATCAGCAAGGGCTGGGCAATTGGATACTTTTTGGGGGGGGGCAAAAGACAACAGCTCGCGTACCGGTACCAGTGGTCCCAGAGGGCCTCGTTCCATGTTTGCATGATTTTGCATGCTCTTCGGCTTGAGCTAGACTCCCCCCCCAGCAGCATCGGCCCAGCTCTCAGCTGTCCCACCAGCTGTCCCGACCTTTTTTCGTGTGTTTTGCTTGGGAGGACCAGTCGGACCAAGCTGTAGCATTTGCATTCTTGTTCATGTTCTGGATAACCAATAGACTGTCCCAATGAGTCTTCTTGTCTTCAAAGACCTGAGGCCATGCAAAGCACCAGGCACATGTTGCGATGAATGGCGAAGCACCCGGATTCATTCGTTCACGTCAAGGCGCCTGGTGCGTCCACGACCGATGGTTCGGAGGGAAGCGACGGTTCGGTGTCCAGGCTGCCAGAGCGTTAGAAGCAGCCTTGGTCTTTGGCTCAGGTTCCTGAAGCCCTCCATAAAGAGAAAAGAAATAAAGAAAGAACAGTCTTTAAAAGAGAAAGAGAGGACCTTTGGCTCAGTGGTGGCTCAAGCAAGCGCCTTTTTGTTTCGCTTCATCGTACTTGGGATGCCGTTGTTGCCATGGTGCAAGCCCGGCAGAAACAGAGCCGCCACTGATCCACTTAGGTTCGCCAGTTTGGTGAGTCAGCACGTGAAACTGTAGCAGAACAGGCACGGCGGATTACTAAGTACCTATATAGGTAGTTCATACTAGGGTGGAGGCCGCTATTGGGTTGGAGGCCATTGCTAGTAGGTGAGAAGCTGTGCACTTTCAGCTCAGCTTTCAGGTGGGGAGCTTTCTGCAAGGGCGCACACTGCAAGCCCCTGAGTCCTGCCCTAGTTGCTGCCACTTGTTGCCCCGTTTTGCCGATTCGACATGCTGTGAGGTTGCATGCTTCACTCCTTGCCTAGTCTTTTTGGACCAAGAACAAGCTCACATCAGGGGCACTTGAAATGGCAGTCAGGCCACATGCATGTTTGATGGAATGTCGAACATGCTCAAACTGTAGCTCTTCAAAGCTATTTGAACAGCGGTTCCTGGGATTGGTTAGTGCAACTCAGAGAGTCATGGATCAAGAACGGGCCACAGTCATGCAGGAGTCGATGGAGGACACGGAGGCTTGTGTTAAGCCTGGACAAGCACATTTGCACGCCTCCAAAAATTCCAGGATGGTAAAAAACATATATAGCACAAACATATTAGGCTGCTAGGCACATGGAAGAAAGCTCAAAGAGACAACGGCACATCCGATGCGATCTTCACTTGCCATGACCAAGCAGCGGCTGATTGGGATCTCGCTGCTTTGCTTCGGTTCCATGACCAGCTTCGACTCCATTGGCTTTGCGATGCCTGGCTTAAAGCTTTTGAAGGAGGAACAATGGGAAAAGAGAGGGGGAGGGAGCAGAGGCAAGACAGGCAGACACATGGACCCCTACATTTTATCCAAACGGTTCAGAAGAGTCAGAAAAGAACTCAGGCAGCCGTAATTGAAACAGTTCGCTGTGTTGGCACGTTCATCCGTGGTTCTTGGGAAGCGGAACCATCAAGCCCCAAAGTCTGCGTTCCAAGTGGTAATGAAACGCAAGTTGCGTCGAAACTGCCCCGTGCTCCAGTTCGTAAACGGCGGTTATATATATATATATATGATATATAGTTATGTGCAGTAATATTTGTAGAATCTTATTTAACATATATTAGTACGCTTGCCAAGAGTAGTGCGGTGGTAAAACTTGGTGATGGTATTGCATGTCCCATCCCGACTTGCCCGAGCACATTGTCACCTCAAAATGTCAGGGGTTTTCTGTTGGGCCCAAGGTTGACCGCTGACTTCAAAAAATTGAGTGATATAGGACCTGATGAGCCTGACAGAGGCAAAGGTGGTGGACAATGTGTTGCATTGATCTACCTTCTGAGTTTATATAGGACGCTACTAGTAACGAAGACGCTACTAGTAGTTCCTTGTAATACTGCCCTTCGCACCACTGAACTTGGCCTTCGCGTCGGGATGCTGAGGACCCCGCACCTCGACAAAGGCCAACTTTGGTCTTTCGTGCTTTGTAAGGAGCTTCAGTCTTGATGGTTGATGTGTGAGGCGTTTTACAGCCTGGCGTCCTTGTGTTTGGCGCAGAGTATTGCGGCCCTTGCAAGGCTAAGAGCCTAGAGTTCACAGTGGTTCACTCAGGGACGCAACTATAGAAATATTTCCATCCTTGAAGCTGGCTTTAGAGGCCATGGGTACTAGGGTGGAGGCCATCGGTAATAGGTTGGAGGCCATCGCTACTAGGTTGGAGGCCATCGCAATTAGGTTGGAGGCCATCGCTTATAGGTTGGAGGCCACCGGTACTAGGGTGGAGGCCATCGCTAATAGGTTGGAGGCCATTGTAATTAGGTTGGAGGCCATCGCTTACAGGTTGGAGGCCATCGGTACTAGGGTGGAGGCCATCGCTAATAGGTT